GTACACCTCTGCAAGATCTCCATTCAGGGACGCATTCTTGACATTGAGCTAGAATAAATGTCAACTCAGATTCGCCACAAGAGATAAAAAGACCTGAATGGTGTTTAATTTGGCCATCAGAGTAAATGTCTCCTCATAGTCAACTCTGTAGGTCTTTGAGCATCCTTTGGTAACCAATTGTGCATTTTTGCGTTCAAAAGAGTCATTTGAGTTGAAATTAATGCTAAAAATCCATTGATATCTCACTGTGTTCTTACTCCAAGGAATCTACGACTTCCCATATATGGCTCTACTGAATGGCTTTCATCTCCTACATTACTGCATCTTTTCAGGCCGGATCCGCTAGTGCAGCCTCAATATTAGCCGAGATTTGATTATTGCTAGGGCGGTAGTAAATGCTCTATAGGTCAACAATAAACTGCGGAAAGAGACATTTTGTCATGGAATAGAGTGAGCATGTCTGAATGCGTACCTTACTCGGGGAATTCATCTCCTCATTTGGAGCAGTAGTGTCGGGGATGTCGCTAGGATTGGATTCAAGGTCCTGCAAAGAGGTGGCGGGCTCCAGAGGAGGGGTATTGGGATGAGTGCGCTGAGTGTAGACTCAGAGAGTGGGGGGAGGAGATGGTGAAACTACAGGAACCAGAGATTCCTTGGTGGCAGAAACAATGGGGGGAACATCTGTAGGAGTAGGAGAAGGAATAGTGTCCAAGAACTCGAGCTACCTCTCACTTAAGGTCGAGTTAGGAAGATTTGGAATATTTAAAAAAAAAAGACATCAACACTCAGATTTTGTTTGTGATCGGAACAAGGAACTGATACCCTATTTGAGTGGAGTACTCTAGGAAGATACAGTTTATGGATCTGTGATTAAGTTTACTTCGAGTAGTGTTCCAAACGAAGGTTGCACACCCAAATATTTTGGGATCTAAAGTGGAGAAGTCCTGATTGGCATGAAAGCATAACATCAAGACGACTAAAGGGGCTAGAAAGTTTTGATTTTTAGAGGGGACTATTTATGAGATAGGTGACGATTAGAATGCCATCATTCCAAAGACGTTTGTTGAGTACCCGAGAAAATGCCAATTTTTTCTCTTGACTATCCATTTTGTTGAGTATTCATACACGAGCTATGGTGGAGGATGCCCTTAGTTACCAAAAATTCACTTAAAATAGAGTTAATAAACTTACGACCATTGTCGGGGCTTGAATTGGAGTTTTGAATTGGGTCAAAATGAAGGTGTGGAAGTTTTGGAAAGTGACAAACTTCTGATTTGTATGTCATCATTCCAAAAACGTTTTGGGACATTGATTGAAACATAATGGAGCAATGTTGATGAGATGTTAGTTTTTCCTTTCGGCAGTTAGTATGTCATTATTCCAAAGACTTTTTGTGACATTAGATTGAAACATAATGGAGCAAGCAACTTCGAGGAGACGTCAGTTTTTCCTCTCGACTACCCTATTTTGTTGAGTATCCGTACACGAGCCATGGTGGAGGATACCCTTACTTACCAAGAATTTACCTAAAATAGAGTTAAAAAGCTTACGACCGTTGTTGGTTCAAAGGACCTGAATTGGAGTTTGAATTGGGTCAAAATGAAGGTGTAGAAGTTTTGGAAAGTGACAAGAACTTCTGATTCATCTTTTACAATATAAACCTACATCAGTCGAGTTTGGTTATCAATCAAAGTAAGGAACAACCGTTTATTGGTGTAGTTGGCAGTGCGAGAGGGTCTCCATACGTCACTTTGAACGAGTAAAAAAGGAGCGGAAGGTGTGTAAGTGTAGGTTGTGTAATGACCCGATGCTGTTTGGCTAACTGACATGTCTTACAGATGAAACTAGAAAGATTTTGACTAGAAAACATCAATGGATACAAATGTTTTAAATATTGGAAACTAGGGCAAAACGACAATGTAACAACATAATGAAACATTCAGTGACTCGAAATAGGCTACAACTACTCAGTGGTATGCCCTCGTTTTCTGTACTTTTCTCTTGAAAGTAATAGAGTTCAACTACCCGCTTAGCAGTTATAATCATTCTTCTCGAACTACAAATTTGAAAGATAAACATCAGGAGAGACATAAGCAACATAATTGATTCGGTTGAAGGGGTGGAACTACCAAGCATGATAAGTCTATGGTTCTCTTCACGGCGGATCTCGGTTAAAATAGCGCGAGCGGAAGGAAGAGGATCCCGACCAAGAACACGACCTCGGACTTTATCAAGGTTTTTGTTGAGGTCTGCTAGAAATTGGAACATGCGATCCTTTTCTATAATTTTCTGAAAGAGAGAAAGTTTGCTCTGAGAATCCCAAGTGTAATCATAGTATAGCTTGCATTCCATCTATAGTGCAACCAGGTCATTCTTGTACTGGGTTACGGTTCTTGATCCTTATTTTCCCTCTCAGATCCTCTAAGACACTTCATAGAGTTGGTCGAAGTTTTCTACATTCAAGTAGGTATCACGGACTGCCGTCTAGAGGGCACTAGCGGAAGGGAGGAACTTATATGAACGGTCAATTGACGGTTTCATGGAGTTGATCAGACACGACATGACCATGGAGTTCTCCATTTCTCAAACTTCATATGTCGAATTAGTCTTTGTAAGTTAACGAATCATGCCTGTGCGGTGACTGAATTTCCTGCGTTCTTTGATGAATAAGGACACCGCTTGGGACCATTGAAGAAAATTAATGACATTCATTTTGTTAGTAGTGATCAAAAAGTTCATGTTGGTTTCTGGTATTCCAGCCTGAATTGGAGTCGAACCTTTGGTGGAACCAAGAATGCTTTCTGAGGATGACTTAATGCTGGAGGAGCTCCCCTTGTTCCGACTGAGCCAAAAGAAATTTGATGAGGATTCGAAGACATCGCCGAATTTTAGCTGTAGGTCACCGACTGCCAGATAAAAAAAAAATGATGTAATCTAGATAACTACAGGAGAGGGAACAGTCTCCAGAGAAAAAAATAGGGAGGTCTGCAGGGATGGCTGGCGGGAGAATCTGCATCTACAGGGAGGAGGCCGGCGATTGCTAAGGCGGCCGACGGTTGTAGGGTACAACTGTGAGGGCCGGCGACTAGCATTTCCTGCAGGAAACCTTGCAGGGAAGGCCAGCGGTGGCTGCAGGGAAGGCTAGCGGTGGCTGAGATCTAAGGTTAGATTCCGACTCTAATACCATATTGAAATATTGGAGTAGAGCAACATATTTTGTTAATAGAAAGAGGGGTATATAAACCCTATTGCAAGGGCCACTCATAAGGAAAAAAATAAAAACATAATAAAGTGGAATAAGAAAGAAGTGAAAATAGAATAAAGAGAAATAGGAAAGTAAATAACAATAAATTAAAGAAAATCTGTATATTAATAACGACTAGGGATAGTCATAGAGTTAGTCGAAGTTTTCTACATTTAAGTAGGTATCACAGACTGCCATCCAGAGCGGAAGGGAGGAACTTATATGAACGGCCAATTGACGGTTCCATGGAGTCGATCAGCCACGACATGACCATGGACTTCTCTATTTCTCAAACTTCATATGTCGGGTCAGTCTTTGGAAGTTAACGGATCATGCCTGTGAGGTGACTGAATTTCCTGCGTTCTTTGATGAATAAGGACACCGCTTGGGACCATTGAAGAAATTTAATGGCATTCAGTTTGTTAGTAGTGATCAAGAAGTTCATGTTAGTTTCTGCTATTCCGGCCTTAATTGGAGTCAAACCTCCGGTGGAACCAATATTGCTTTCTGAGGATGACTCAATGATGGAGGAGTCTCCCCTGGTTCAGACTGAGCCAAAAGAAATTTGATTAGGATTCCAAGACATCGTCGAATTTTAGCTGTAGGTCACCGACTGCCAGATAAAAAAAACAGGTAATCCAGACAACTACAAGAGAGGGATCAGTCTCCAGAGAAAAAAATAGGGAGTTTTGCAGGGATGGTTGGCGGGAGGATTTGCACCTGCAGGGAGGAGGCCGGCAGTTGCCAAGGCGGCCGACGATTGTAGAGTACAACTGTGAGGGCCGGCAGCTGCAAACTTCAGATGGAAGGGCCGATGGCTAGCAATTCCTGCAGGAGACCTTGCAGGGAAGGCTAGTGGTGGCTGTAGGGAAGGCTAGCGGTGGCTGAGATCTAGGGTTAGATCCCGGCTCTAATACCATGTTGAAATATTAGAGTAGAGCAACATATCTTATTAATAAAAAGAGGGGTATATAAACCCTATTACAAGTGGCACTCATAAGGAAAGAAATAAAAACATAATAAAGTGGAATAGGAAAGAAATGAAAACAGAATAAAGAGAAATAGGAAAATAAATAACAACAAATAAAAGAAAATCCGTATATTAATAACGGCTAGGGATAGTCATTATTATTTTAATATTCTAATAAATTGCTTATATTGGATGCCATTCTTCGATTTTGATATCCAAGCACATTCCTTCAAATTTAATCATTATTATCCATCCACTTAAGGTTGAGAACTCTGAGATGTCCTGCATTCTTGCAATTATTACCATATATCGGTTGCATCAAAAGCTGTCACGAGGAAAAAGAATTGATTTGGGAGTTGTGAACTTTACATCTTCAAGTTTTATTGAACTTATAGATTGCCAGCTAAACATGTTTTGAGTGGAAGGATTGATGAGTAATATATACGGATAAAATGAAGTTCATAAGTGGGTGTCCCTAATTTTTCATTTCTTCAATTTTTAATTTGATGCAAATTTAAAATATACTATAGACCAAGTAAATTTCATATAAGTGATTTAATTGCAAATGATGAAATTGAAAGATTTGATCTCATATATCGACATCACAAAGGAATTGACAGTCCTGGATAATTTGGTAACTGATTATCAAATCTTTTCTTACTTGAGATGGACAATTGCATTGAATAATCTATGATGAAAAATGTTCTATCAGCAACTTTATGATGAACAATATTTTCGTGTTCTAGTATCTTTTTCTGATTTAATACTAATACAAATTAATTGCAGATGAGGTTAAGCCTTCACATGTGGGCCTTGAGCAAGAGGCTTTATTAGTTCGGAATTGGAGGGGCCCAAATGCTTCAAATGGGAAAAAGGTCTCTAACGGGGACAACCAATCTATGCCTCCAATAAAATACTTGCATATACATGAATGCGACAACTTTTCTGTAAGTCTCGTTATTTTTTTATTCTGATTTCATTAAGTTTGGCTATGTAGAATACTTTCATGGCGCTTATCTTCTTCCCGTCATGTAGATAAAGGCCGTGCCTTGGAATTTCGCTTGAGTCAAATGGGTTATTAAAGAGGGTTTCAAACTGAAATCTCTCTCTCTCTCTCTCTCTCTATATATATATATATATGTGTGTGTGTGTGTGTGTGTGTGTGTGTGTGTGTGAAATAATATTATGAAAAAATCAGGTGGTTTTTTTTGTGAGAGGTCAAATGTGTGGCTATGTTGCTACACCATTTTATGCACAAATCACAGCTCCAATATTATTTATTTTAATTTTTTTAAAATTTCGAGTCACTTGCCTGTGGCTGTGGTTGAGGTTTTAAATGATAAATGAACCTTGATCTGTCATTAAGCTTATTTGGTTTAGCTCATTAGAAGTCCATACCCATGAGTACTAGTCTATTAGGGCTGCCCGGTCTTATAGGTTTATGATCGGCCCACCCATTTGTCAACCCTGCTTTTCTTTTATAACATTTTTCATGCCTTCTTAAAATCCATGCAGATTGGAATATTTTGTATGCCGCCTTTATCTGTAATACCCCTGCATAATCATCCTGGAATGACTGTGTTGAGCAAGCTTCTCTATGGCACTTTGCATGTGAAATCTTATGACTGGATTGATATGATTGGACCCTTTGATTCATCAAAAGGCGAGTATCTCTCTTCTGCCTCTATTTAATGTTTAATATATATGCGACAGCAGTTTTCTACATGGATAGTTCTTGATTGCTCTTTGTCACCGTATAACTTCATTTTGTGGCAAAGTTTTTTTTGGAGTTTTATTTTTTAATTTTTGGGTGTCCAATTAGTTTTGGATACAAACATATACAAATTGCTTGGCCTGGAGATAACTTTTGATGGTTTAGTCTCGCTTTAACGTGTAGTTTCTGAAATATGTTTGCTTGTGTGGAAACTGTAATTTGACTATTTTAGGTGATGGGACAATTGCATGAAAAAAATTTTTGGTCAGACACTGTTGACCAAGTGTTGGTTGCTTCTTTGTTTAGCCCCAAAAAGATAACACTACTCTCATGGAGACTTCTACAATATTTGATGATGGGGAAAGTTCTTAATGATCTATTTTTATTTTAAAGTACTTTCTTAGAATTCTAGTTAGTTGACAAGCTGATTTATCTTTTAGTTAATTCGCTTGGCATTTCATTTGCTTTTGAAGTGGTGTCAGTACATCTAAAATCTGAAAAGAAGCATGCCAAGGTGTTCTATGCACTCTTTAGATACCTCATACAAATCTCCAAAAAAGGATTGCTATAAAATAAAATTGAGCATTCGAGTATTGAAGCGTTCTTCGAAGTAGATTATGCTGGCTCAGTAGAAGACAGGATATCAATCTCAGGATGCTACATCTTTTATGGGGGAAATTTGAGCATATAGAAAAGCAAGAAACATGCAGTTTTTAACTAGAGCTATGACATATTTTTTCTTGTGAAATTTTGGTAAAATTTCTCTAGAGGAGTATGGTTTTCCCATTGCTTAGCCTGTTGTTATGTAGTGCAAATGTAGTGCTTTCATCTAAATAGTCATCAATCTTTGTTTCTATGAATATATTAAACATATTGAAGTAGGTTGCCATTTTATACCAAATGTGTTTTTTCATAAAATTATTGCACGTGTTTTTCAGTCCATAACTAGTAGCAAATATAATCACTAAATTTTTGGTCACGCACTCATTTCCCATAACGTACAAGCCAGTGCTAATTGATGTATAAGCTTCAGCGTAAGAATGTTGGCATTGTTGCTATATTAGATAGTATTTTTAGTATTGGAAGGTCATTATATTAAGGATATATGCTTTTAATTATTTCATAATATGAGCTTTTATGCTCTTCTACTTGTTTTTTCTTGTATCATCCTGTATTCCTATTTCTTGGCTCCTTATTCAGTCAACAACAAAAACAATCCTTTCCTCGCAAGAGTTTACTTGTCAGTGCAAAAACCTGATCCATTTTGGGCACGCAGAAGCCTAACATACATATGTATACCCAAATATTCATAAACGCTTTTTCAGTCCATTTGAGCTTAAGGGATTGGGTGCATTTCACTTGACAAATTAAGAAACCGAGCCTCAGCAGTTTGAACTTTTCTAGGGTATTTTGCAACAAATCAGACTTCACCATCCTTTTCTCAGATAAATAACATGAATAAATATTGCTATTCAATTATACGCTTAAGTGTACCTCATGATATAAATTTGAGGGCTGATTACCTTGACAAGGTTTGCTATATTTTTACCTTGTACTGCAATGCAGGTTGAAGTGTTGTAATCATATTTTGTTCTTTATATGTGAGATGCCCTATATCCATGATTAACCATTGAAAAGTGTGTCCGCTTGACCTTACTAGAGCGTTGGTTGATCTTATGATAGCTATTTACTCATATTTCTCCTGCTTTCTTTTGAACATAAATTTCAGCGAGGCCAGCAAAGCTCATTAAAGATGGTGAACTGTCGGCACCCTGCGGCACTACCGTGCTTTATCCCACTAGTGGTGGCAACCTCCATACATTCAAAGCGTTAACTCCCTGCGCTCTCTTCGACATTCTCTCACCCCCTTATTCTTCAGAAGATGGAAGGCACTGTTCGTATTTCAGGAAATCCTTGAGAGAGGATCAATTAGGCAAGTTCTCTCTCCTTCTCTCTCCATTAGTTTTATATATATATATATAAATGGCCGGATGCTATTATACGAGCCCCGACCATCCCTCGTGCGCAAAAGAATTTGAGTACCACACCCTACACTCGGAGGGGAATCGAACCCTAGATCAGAGGGGACTTACAACTGATAAGCAGTTGCCTGACCAACTGATCTTAATACGGGGCGCATATATATATATATATATAGTGTGTGTGTGTTGGAATCATAAATTACTGAGTTTGTAGTTTTGAACTTCCAAACGTAATTTGTGTTTTTTCAGGAGACATTGATGGTGTCCTACCGGATGGAACAAATGACTCTGAAATAGCTTGGTTGGAAGAATACCAGCCTCCTGAAAGCTTTGTCGTAAGGAGAGGAGTATATAAAGGTCCTTCTATTAAAATATAATGCTTGCTGTTCCGTAATACCATATCAGTAGTTGCATTAATTAGTTAGTAGTTTAAGGCCATCTGATTTGGGAATAATTATAAAAATAATCTCTGTTATCATGTTCTGATTCAGTATTTTTTGCGGTTTAATTCTTAATAGTTTTTGCATTTTCTGCTTCCATATAGAGTGAGATGCTACTGGTTAGTTTACTATGGCTCACATATTTATGATTGTCGATTACTAGAAATTGTTTGTTCTAATGGTATGGGACTATCCACTCAACCTAGGTATTGCAGGGTCTCTCTTTTCCATCATTCTTTGCACATGCCAACCAACCATTTGGTGAATTTAATTGACCATATTGAGATGTGCTCAATAAAAAATCATTAACAAATTAGCGTAATGTAAGGGTTATACCTGTAAACAATCCATTTTAACTATTATATACAATCTACGCTTTGATTTCAATCATCACTTTGTTTGTATTACATTGCTGTGCATTTTAGTAGTAAAGTTGCTCTTACTTTAGTCTGAAAACTGTGACTTCTAGTTTCCGTTGCTGCTCATTTTAGTAGTAAAGTTGCTATTACTTTAGTCTATGTTATGGTGACTCCCAATTATGTGAATTAAGACAAAGCCGTAGTTTATAAGGAGATTTAGATCGCTAAAGGAGAGAACGGTCATTTGGCTATGACAAGTGTTTAACCGGTCATCTTGTACGAGTCATTGTCTATATATATGTAATGATGTATTGAGAGGGTTAAGGGAGAAAAATTCTGAGAGCAAGGTGAGGAACCAAGAAAGCTTGTATCAAGATCAAGATCGATAGAGAGCTAGAGGAGATTGGTTTGTCCTTGAAATTGTGCGGTGTAATCATCAAGATTGTTTTAGTGAATTGTTTCTTGATTCCCTCACGTGATTGTGGGTCTTATGGACCGAGACACGTAAGTTCCCGGTGTTCTTGTTTGCATTTTCTTTGTGGTTTTTCCTTTTCCCATTTTGCTGTCCTGCGGTTCTCTTGGTGACAAATTTTGCTAGTCTCTAAACTGCTACAAATATACCCTGCTCCTATGGATCATTCAAGTCATAGTGCAAATAATTACTATAGCTTGCTACAAAATTGGCGAGTGGAACAAAAAAAAAAAAAAAAATTATCCATCCCATCATTACCATTTAATATTCACCTAAAAGCATCAATTATTTATGGGTAAAAATATGCACAGAAGTTAAGTTGAGCTCGTTTCTTAAACTATATGAACTTGATTTTATACATTGGGGATGAATAAAGTGATTTGATAAAATGGAGCATGATATACAATGCAAGCATATTAGGTTTTTATCATAAACATAGATCAACTCATTTACCATATGTTAATAGTAATATGAGTGCATGCTCTTGTTTTGTCCTTTTATTACATGATTTTAATAATACAAGCACAATCTTCATTGCAATATCTTATCATTTTCATATTAGTTCTATTGAAGGTTAAAACAGTTCTGCTCCATTTGTTATGTTTAGCTTTTGCCACATGGAAAGTATATCATTTCTTATGAGAATTTACTTATATTTCTTGAGTTCTATCAAATAATTTCGTTTCTTATATTCCTAATACTTTATATCAACTCTTAGATGTTTTGAATATCTTAATGTATGAGCTTACCATCTAAATATTTTTCTTTTATTTCTTCAACCTATACACTTAGGCACTTCATGCATCTAAATGCTTCAACATTATCCTCTTAAAAATAAATGAAATTATTCAAATTGGAAAGTGACTTCCATTTAATAATTTATGGGCCATCCCTTAAGGCTTTTACTAGTTATTGGATCCTTTCAAGGGTGATAAACATCATGTTCATGGAACCTCTTAAAGTAATGTAAATTTAGAAAATTCTTTCATAGGGAATGAAGAAGCTACCTAAAATGATAGACATAAATCAAACATTAGTATATTTTTGCTAAATAGTATAAAGATGCTAACTAATGCTAATTTAGATCTACACATCTTAATTGTGATAAGGAAAAATAATTATGATTAATTATATTCTAAATATGATACATGGGACAAAAATTTAATTAATGGTAATATTAATATTAAATTTAAAAAAAATTGTCTTTATATATTGAGATATAATCTTTGAGAAAAACAATAAATTAACTGGTTTTGAATAGGAAATTTAAGGTTGACTGGCTAAGTTACTTGTGGCATAAATTTCTTTGCCTTGGCATTATGACACATGGTTAGAACTAAGACTCATCTCCACCTTATGACCCATATGTGGCGTTAAGTTATAATTCAATAAGCCTATATTCAATATAAGATGAATTAAAAAATATTTAAATTAGCATAATTATTTTCGTAGCTATCATTGCCTAGTTAACTAACTCCATAGACTTTATGTGAGATCCATATATCATGTTATTATGAATTAATATGTGATGACATAAATAAACTTAACCCTGATTGGAATTAAAAATTTGCTGAAGTACTATATTTAGTTCTTTTGGCCATGGCGAACTGTAGTAATGGTGTTTGGGAAATTTAATTAAGCCAAATAACAAGGGACTAAAGCCATAACTTTGACCCTAGTTTAGTTGAACTGATCTAAGCTATGTTATTAAGTAAAAGTAAGTATAATTAGACCTTCAATGGAGTTAGTTTAACTTAATTGAGCCTAATCTGACTCTAGATCTTACTCTTATTTGGCGAGGCAACATTGTTTGTTCGAAAACTAATCTAATAAATCCTAATCTTGATTCGTCATGGACTAAAATTGCTTAGAGTTGAATTAATGTCAACCTAGATGATTTAAATGACCTTATTAAAGCCATAACTAGCTTATAGTGATCCTAACTCAATCTAGCTAAAAGCTAACCAAATATAGGTATGACTTCACCTGATTAACTTAAATGGTTTGATTGGGTCATAAGTAGAAATAATTGGATAATGTATTAGCTCACTGGAACCCCTAGTTAGAATACGACATATCTAGGCTCACCCTAGGATTAATTTACTTTAGGTTAACTTGACTTAGTTTAAACCTAAACAAATGCAACTTAAGTTAGTTTGAGTCATTTTAACTTGGTTAACCTTGCTCCAAGTTTAGTTAAATAATAACTTATATATAATTGAACTTAAAGATAACCCATTGATAATATAACTTAATTGTTTTAATTAGCATGAATTAAGTGCAATTGAACCTTGGACCAACTCTCCAAGCCCTCTTAAATCTAGCTAAACATATAAACTTGAGTATAGTCTTGTTGAGAGAGCTGCTTAGATTCATTTAGGAAAGTCCATGTGAATCACTTTATGGTTTTATTAATAAAAGTAAAAAAATTGCCTAAGAAAGCTCTGAGTTTATATTTCTCTTTCCCCAAGAAAATAATAGCTACTTTAGAAGCTTAATCCATTAACAAAAATTATGGTCAACCCCAAATTAATGGGATTAAAAGTGAAAAAATGAACTTACCACCCCTTATATTTATAAGGGAGACACTAATGAATACTATCTCAACCTAAGTAAAGTTGGTAGAGAGCTAAAAACAAAATCTAGAGAGCTTCCTAGAGCATCCTTGCTGCCACCCTAGCCTTCTTTAGATAAGAAAGCTATAAGTGAGGTAATTTTTATAAGAGAGCAAAGAAAAGCTTGATCTCATGTTATGCTTCCTGAAAGTAATTCTCAAATAAGACTATTAGAAGTCCACAATCATTGACCTTTAGAGTAATTGAAATAGTCTAAAGTCTCATAGTTGCCAAATGTACCTTTGTTAAGCTTTGAGAGAGCTCCACAATCCCTTGGACAAGTTGATCATAGGCCCTTCCAAGGTAGTCAACTCCATATCTATGCCTAATTTATTATTTGATTGTCATGTTCATTTAGAACATAAACGAATTCAATTTATATTCCACTTTTTATAGCTCTTTAATAGCTTTCCTAGAGCTCAAGCACACATTGTTTGGTGGGATAGAGGGGGGATGAAGAGCCTCAATTCTATAGGGCATTCTTTATGTAAATATTCTTTTGGATGATAGAAGGAAGTGTTTGAAAGAACTTGATTGATTTGTAAATAACAAGTTTCAGGCGGTTTGATATGTAAATAACTGAAATTACTCCACTCATGTGAGCCATAAATTATAACTCATGCACTTAATATATGCATTAAAATCATCACTTCTACTCATAAATCTATTGAAAATAGAGTCCATATAACTCCAACTAATTTTGACATATTTTGAGCATTTTATGCTTTAATCAAATTAAATAGTTAATTAAATAAAATTTGTGGTTATTCATGATGTTGAAATAAATAATTTTATTATGAGCTGATCACTTTTATTCAATTCCTGGTCAAGTCGTGCCCTATAAAATATTGCATCAATTTGATATATATATATAT